AGTTAAGATAGAAATTTAATATCCGATTTTTGGTAACAGAAGTTAAAAGAAAATGAACAAATTTTTATTTTATCCATATGTCTATCAATATAAATGAATATAAATGTCTTATGTCTGAAACTACTGTATAAGAACATACGTTTAAAATTAACTTTATAAAAGTAGATCATTATTTATTTCTTAGTACTAGGTCATCGTTTGATAGATAAGACTATTTATTATAATCGATTAATGAAAAATATCATTATAGGACACGAAAAATAAATCATAGTAGATATATATCGCTTGGGCGGATTTAGGGGTGGGCGACGGGTGCGGTCGCCTCCCGCCCGTTCAGAATTTTTTTTGATTTTTTACAGCAAAAGTAGGTTCACACTACTTCGATTGGGCTCAAAAAATAATTCTTAGCTGAAATCGCCCCTCCCCCTATACGGAAACGCCCGTATCTTCCAAAATCCTAGATCCGCCACTGGCTTGGTTATTTATGTATAGTTATTCAAATATAGACTATTATTTCGATTTAAACTCATGTAATTTATTTTAAAAGAAAAATCACAGAATATTGGTGATGATATTCTATCTCAAAACTTGTGCAATTTTTATTGAAAAATTTGATTTCTCATTTTTTTTTCTAATGTGATGCCGAGAACGTGCGCCCTCTTTCGATAAAAACTGATAACTTTATTTTGACGAATAAGCGAATATTTAAAAAATTTCGTTTTTTTTCTCTTACTTGTTCATCATCAGAACTTTGTTCATCATTATCAAATATTGTTGTATTTTGTTCTTTTGAATCTTCAATATTAAGTTGATGTTCAACATCATCATCAACTCCTTCTAAATCACCTTCAAATTCGACATTTGAAGGTTGTTGTAATGAAAGATTTAATTTCGGTGGTGGTGATGGTGATTGATGATTATTTCTATAAATATATAAAATTTTTCAAAAAAAAATAAGAATAAAATAAATCTTACTTAGATGATTCATTGTGATGAGAATTAAGATGTACATGAAAATCATATGATGATAATGAATAATATCGACATGTATCACATAAAAAAACTTCGTCCTGTCCGTGTTCGAATTTCATATGATTTTTAAATTCGTTTATTGTTGATGAAGAAAAATCACAGAGATCACATTGACGAACAAGTCGAGAACGAGGCGCCAATTGTTTTCGTCTAAAAATAGAATGAAAATTTTTTTTAAATATATAGTAAATTTATTATTCCTTAGAAATTCTATATTAACCTGCTACTACGTCCAGTATTTTGAATTG